TGGAATTACAGATGTGCACCATTGTGCCTTGTTTGTGCATCACTTTTTAACCCATTGATTCTCACTTCTAAAGAATAAAAGCAAGAATCAAGTACATATCTATTAAAATTATGCTTATGTGTTTTTATATTCTCTACATTTGGAGTTTTGATCTGGTAAGAAATTGCCTAAGTCCCCATGCCTTATTTATTAACATCTTAATAATAACTAATAGTAATATTGTTATAATATAATTGTGTTAAATTAGTAATTACACAGTGTATCACAATTATATATGATATAATCGCAACTATGTTGTAATTATATTATGTAACAGTTATGTAATATACATGTTATAGCTTACAAAACAAATATAAATTCACATATAAAAATCGAATATGTTAATATGCAATACAGAATTCATTGATATGCTGCTTGTTGAAAACGAAATGGTTGATAAATAATTTCTTTACTAACTAAATTATTTCAAGGTCTCAAAATCAATTATTTTGTTATTGTGACTTAAACTGACACTGTAGAACTTTACAATTATCGTTGATCTCAGAAGATGTCTGAGAATACTGTAGAAGCAGTATTTGTTTCCTGTTTATTTGAAACAGACCCCAGGGAGTTGGTAGGAGGAAAATGAAGGGGAGTTTTCATACTCATGCTGCTTTAAAATGTGATGTGCTGCTTTAAAATGGCCCCAAAGCAGTGGGGCCAGTGGTTTATGGCCTGGACCCTCCAAAACTGTGAGTCAAAATAGATATTTCCTAAGTTATCCAATTACTTCAAACATCTGTTATAGGATGGAAAGCTATATAATCTATATAATGAATAAACAGCAACTCCTTGCCCCTTCTCTCCAGCCCTTGGCAGTCTCCATTCTAATTTCTGTATCTATGAATCTGCAGACCTGCGGTCAGCAGAGTGTATCTAGCCAGCCTTAGCTCAGGTCTTGGCAGGCCCTGGGCGGTGCATGCCATGCATGCCACCTAGAACAGCACCTGTGGGCTCCCTGGGCAGAGGGCTTTGGCAGAGCAGCATCAGCTGAGTGGGGACACTAGACAAACCATGCTCGACATTTCTAGGACATGGAACAGTCACCACTCCTTGATGGATTCTATGCGTTATTTTATTTTTGCGTTTTTGATGATTTATACGTTATACAAAGTATATAATAATTTGGGATCCAGCTGAATCTATTTTTATGTGTATACACCTGTGTAACAACACTCCAAAGAAGATACAGAAATCCCCATTACCCCAGGAAACTTCCTGATGCCCTGTTCAGTCAAGTCTCCTTACTCCTTCCCCTGAAAAGGGCAACAACTATTTCACCTTTTGTCTCCAGAGATTAGTTTTGCTTGTCCCTGAACTCTGTGTGAATGGAACCACACACTATGTAGTCTTTTGAGTCTTATGTAGTCTTTTCTGTTTGACTTTATGTTTGTAAAACACATCCATGTTATTACTTATAGCAGTTGTTTGTGGTTTTCACTACCATGTGGAATTTAATTTATAAATACATCTTAATTTATGTATCCTTTCTATTGTAAATGTATATTTGGGTAGTTACTAGTTTGGGGCTGTTCATATAGCATTGCTGTGAACATCCTCAGACATGTCTTTAGTTGAACTCAAACATGCATTTCTATTGGGAACAAGCGCTGGAGTGAAAATGCTGTTTTACTTTCTGTTTCTGTGAATTCACCTACTCTAGGTAACTCATATAAGTGGATCATGCAGTGTTTGAAATTGGAGGTACCATGTTTTCAAGTTTCATCTGTGTTGTATGTAGCACAGAGCAGGATTTCCCTTTTTAAGGCTGGTCTCTTGTATGGATTCACTTTCTTCTTTTGATGTGAGATTTAAAGTTCAATAACATGTCAGAAACTTTAAGCATATACCCATTAAGTTTCGACAAAGTAAACAGTAATTCTAAATCAACCCTAAATGATTCTTGTCCTCACTCTTCCAGAGACAGCTATTCTGATTTTTTTCACCATGGATTAATTTTTTTTCTCGAACTTCATATAGACCCAGTAATCTTTTAAGTGTTGTCTTTGATTAGATGTGTAGCCAGCTGGTCAAGCAGAAGACATAAAATGCTGAATGAGAAGCCTCTGCTAATTGGTTATCAGTTGGAAAGAAAGGACACAGGGATTCCTAATTTAGAGTTACTTTAAATTATTAGGAAGTTTTATTAGGCTATCCAAATTCCATTTACACACAACTTTAGCAAAACCTCTGAAGTTACTTTTTTACATATTTTACTCTATGATTTATATGGTTATCCTTAGTAATTTTTATACTGTGCTGCCTGGAATGCCTAGGAATTAAAATTTGGATCAAATTCATGCAGTGATCAAAGGAGGTCTTCAAAAACCTAAGACAGGATTTAAAGTAGAAAAAATTTGAAAACCATTCTCCTAAATCATTGAGTTTTAATGATGCGAAAGAACTTAAAATTATAGTATTGAACACTTTCAGGCAAGGAACTGAGGGCTGGTGAGATCAATTACCTAAAGCCATCAAGTTATTATGGGCAGATCCAAGCTCAGAACATGGGGCCCTTTTCTCCTCACCTGAGTATCTTAGTGCAGTTTGCAGGGTGACCTGGCCATTGGCCTTTCAGCTCAGAAGTTCGCTTGGTGTGGTCAGCCTGAAAGGTTTATACTGAATCCTGTATTAGTCATTCTTTAGTAAGATTCTGTCAGTCTAAATGATTATTTTAAAATGAATTGTTTCAAATAAGTTTGCAAACTAATTACTATAATCATAAATAATAATAGCTCATGTGATGTTGTTCAAAATTAGAGAATCCCACTATTTGAGAGGCCTTCTAAGGCACCCCAGGCAATGGTTTTGAACCTTCCTTTTTGGGTATAGACCATTTGCAGAAGCTGATAGAAGCCTTAGACTCTATCCCCAGAAACATGCATACATTTTCAGACATATTCCAGCTTGCCTACTATTCCATGAGTTATACAGACACTTCAAAATTCTAGGTAAAGCATTTATGACCTGTAGCATATATCTAATCCCATTGAATTTTTCATCTTCCTTTGACAGAAGATCCAGACCACAAAATCTTTTATTTTATTTATTTTATTTTATTTGTACCAGGGATTGAACTCAGTACCTTGCACTTGCAAGGCAAGCACAGTGCCATTGAGCTAAATCCCTGGTGAGATTAAAAAAAAACTCTTTATAGGTCTGGGGATTTAGCTCAGTGTTTCCACTGCCTGCTTCGCAAGCACAAGGACCCGAGTTCAATCCCTGGTACCAAAGGGGGAAAAAAATCTTTATAGTGAGTTACCATGTGTCTGACACAAACCTCTTCATTTTAAACTTTTAAAAAGTCTCATTACTAAAACAATGATCATAATCCTCTCAGTTATGTTAGAAAAGAGAATAATACAGAGAATTATTTAAGGTGTCAGTGTGCATGGGTGGGAAGGTGCTGTTCCTGTCACTTATATTGAGAAGTTTGATGTCCTCTCATCCCAGGCAAAGAGTGAAATGCACAAATCTGATAGCACTTTTTAATAATTTACTTGGTGCCTTTTTGTAGGTTTTTCACACCTGTCAAATAACTTCTAAAATGAGTATATCACTTAGTTGTCACCTACTAAGAATTTAAGGTAGGTGAACATAAGAGGTAATTTCATTATAACAAAGCATAGATGAAGACATGTTTTTAAATGCACAAGGAGGCTGGAGGTCTAGCTCAGTGGCAGAGCCCTTGTCTAGCATGTGGAAGGCTCTGAGTTCAAACCTCCACAGAGAGAGAGAGGGACAGAAAAAGAAAGAACATAATCTGAGTTTTTTTGAGCCTTACCAGGATGTGGGGAGTCATGATAGCAGTTATAACTGTCATTACTACTACTAATACAAGACTTGCAACTCTCGCAAATTTCTCTCCAAACATTTTTTTTTCTTTTTAATTGAGTTTATTGGTACATTTTAGGGATACAGTACAGTTACATTCATTGTTAGGATCTTCTACCTTTACATGACAGGTCTTGGTTCTCATTTTTTCCCCTTGTCCCTGCCCTCCCTTCACTCCCTCCTCCTCTCCCCATCTACAACCACTTTATTTCCATCTTTTCATTTTCTCACATTTTTTCTTTTCCCTTATTACCCTTCCCCTACCCATCCCACCTTCCCTACACCTTTAGACCTTTTCTTCCTATTTCACAGTGTCACTTATCTCATTAGGATCTTATGTACTATTACAGTTTATTCACACCAGAGAAACTATTCAGTATTTACACATGTGTGACCTATTTATTTCACTTAGGAGTAGATCCTCGATATGTATCCATTTTCCTATGAATGAATCTAATTTCTCATTCTTTATGGCTGAGTAATATTCCATTTTATAGAAAAACCACATCTTCTTTATCCAGTTTCCAAGGGGCAAATGGGCTGTTTCCAAGTTTTAGCTATTACAAACTGTGCTGCTATGAACATGGATGTGCATACATCACTGTGATATGATTCTTTTAATTCTTTTGGAAAGATACCCAGCAGAGGGATGGCTGGGTCAAATGGAACCTCTAGTCCCAGCTCTTTGAGGTATCTCCATATTGATTTCCACAGTGGTTGCACTAGTCTGCACATCCACCAACAGTTGTGAAGGGTTCTTTTCTCCCCACAACCCTGCCAACATTTGTAATTGTTTGATTTCTTGATAGCAGCCATTCTTTGTGGGGTGAGGTGAAATCTCAGTGTTGTTTTCATCTACATCTCTCGAATGACCAGTGATGTACACTGAAGACCCAAAAAACTCTACCAAAAGACTTCTAGACTTGACAGATTCAGTAGAGTAGCTGGATACAAGGTGAACACCCAAAAATCAATAGCCTTCTTGTGCACAAATGACAGACTCACTGAGAGAGAAATTAGGGAAACAATTCCCTTCACAATAGCATCCAAAAAAATGAAGTATTTAGGAATCAATCTAACAAGAGAAGCAAAAGATCTCCAAACATTTCTTATCCTTCTTTCCAAAGGACTCCAAGGGCTTGCAGGACCCAGTGTTCTACACCATCATTTCTACCAGGTGGCAGCACTACATTAGCAGGCACCAGTGTATTACCTCCCCCCAGCATGGGAAAGACTTCAGGTACTCTCCTCCTAGAGTGTGACAAAGCATGCTGTCCTCCTTTTCCCATTACAGTTATAGAGTCCTAAAGAGACCTGAGCTTCGTGTTCCTTTCTTTTCCTTTCCTTTTCTTGCCTGCCTGCTTCCCCCCCGCCACTCCCCCGACATTCAAGGGGTGGCTCTGTGATGGCTGGTTGCTTCAAGGCCATGTGGGAGGTGCAAAAAGAAAGGAAAGCAGGAAGTTTGCATGTGTTGGTCAGGGCTGATTTCCACAGACATGGTGCTAGAGCAAGGCCTGTTCCCTTCAGACCCTGCCCCTGAGCCCTGAGCCCAGGCAGGAGTGAGGGGAAGGGCCTGTGCTCCCAGCCATGCGGCAGTGCTGGAGCCTCCCACCTGGCACCCAGTCCCCGAGCAGAGCTCCCTGTTGCTGCTGGAGGCTCCTCATTCCAATGGACCAAACCTGGAGGGCACATGCTCAGCCTGCTCAGCTCCAAGCACTAGCGTATAAACTCCTTCCCTCCTCATTCAGGCCACAGATGAACACAGGGATGAAAATCCAATGGCGCAGATTTTCTTCATGTGTTCCTCTGGATGCAGGGACTCTGTGACATCAACCGCATAACAATGCATTAGCCAGCATTCTCTAGAGAAAGAGAATAAATGAGTTAGAACATCCTCCTGCCTTTATCTCTGACCTCTTTTCCTGGGGATGAGGTTCTGACTGCTTCTTGCCATGACCATTTCTCCCATTTCTCTCATTTGTGTTTGCAAAGGACAACACTGCTGAAGCAACAGCCTCCTACCTCAGAGAGAGCAGCTTTGCTCACTGCTTGCTATTGAATGGCACACACCCAAGCTCAGTGCTCCTTGGTTGCCACGCAAACATATCGAGGGCAATATGTGAAAAGCAGCAGAGGTGGAAATGAAAAAATGGAGAGAGTATCATGCCATGTAAGTGTAATGAAGGGAGGGCATAATTGAGAAGAGAGAGAAAGAGCAGCCAGAAAAGCAGAAGAAACCTCAGGAGATGGTGGCTTCCTAATACCATGATGTTAAAAGAGGACTTCCTAAAGGAAGGAAGGGAGAGAGGGGCTGGGGATTTAGCTCAGTGGTTCCGCTGCCTGTCTCGCAAGCTCAAGGTCCCAAGTTTGATCCCTGGTACAAAAAAAAAAAAAAAAAAAAAAA